ACAGTCTGTGATGAGGGTCTGAAGAAGAGATTATTATCTCATTTGGGTAGATTTGTTTTTTGTTTTAAATGATTTAAACTCTCCTATAAAATCCCCAGACCTCTTCTTCTTCCTCTAAGACCTAACGTTTGAAAACCAGAGAGCTTTTTTTCTGTTTCCTGAGAAAATTTTCAAAACTCTGTTTTTCTCTCTGTTTCAAGTGTGTTTCACTTCCCTAGCTTCAGTACTCTTCTCTTTGCTATAGGGGCTTGTGTAAAGAGAGGTTCTTGCTTGTTTTTTTCTTTTGCTGCTGTTGAGATCTGTGGAGATCTACTATGAGGGAGTGTGATCTGTGAGATCAAACTGTGTAGTGAGAGAGAGATCTTGTGGGATCGCTGTGTAGACGAAGTTCCGGCTTCCAAACCGGATGTGTTAGTGGATTTCTCCTCGAGAGTGGGGAGCGGGGACGTAGGTCAGCGGGCCGAACCTCGTTAACACATCGCGCGTCAAGGATAACGATTCCTAACTCTATCTCTTTCTATTTGATTGCACTTTTGTTTTGTGGTTTGCTTGTGCTGAGTTTTAAATTGCATATTAGAGCCTCTTGACCCTAATCACCCCCCCTCTAGGGTCCAACAATATAGTCATATATATATATATATATATAAGTTTTGATTTACAAGTTTAAATATAAAACAAATACATATTTATATATATACATGTTTGTTTTCATATGGTTAAGTTGTTTTGGTTTAGTTATGTAGATATGAAACAATATATATCTTCATATACACTTTTGTTTGTTTCCTATTCTATTGTATTTAGAAAAATATTGTGTTTATGGATTAAAGACTTGTTCACACTATTTTCATATCTCGTATAATGTCTACAAATCCATTCTAAAGTGTTTCCAAGTTGTTTTAACTCGTTTTTGGAAAAATCAAGTTTTTATGTTTATGTACGTGCATGTGTCCGTGCATGTTTTTACAAAACTGATACGTTTTTACAATTAGGAAATGCGATTTAAAAAATTTCTTCGTTTACATGTTTATCTTCATATATAAAAATATTTTCCCAACTTTTACTAATTTTGAAGTTGTTTTGTTATTTTCAATTGAATTTACAAAACCGAGTTTTCAGCAGTTTTTTTAGAAACTTTATATCTGTGTTCAAATATTTATTTCTCTCAACTGAGAAGTGATATTTCAGAAATTCTTTTTCTAACATGTTTATATACATGTCTACAACATTCCCTCAATATTTCATGATTTTTAGATTTGATTTACTATTTTTAATTAATTTTACAAAATTAGATATGTAAATTTCCAGAATCTGTCAAAACCTAAAATTGTTTGTGCACGTTGCTACAGTGCGGATGACCACCACGGTCGACCGTACGTAGTCCAGAGAATAGTTTTTAAGTTTTTCTTCTCGCGGTCGACCGCGACGGTCGATCGCCGATGTTACCGTTGCACAGTAACGATAACTTGCTGATTTTTGTCTTTTAGTGGTTTTTTGGGGTTTTTGGGGTTGTTTTCTTCTACCCTATATATACCCCATTGTATTTATCATTTCCTATACAATGAGAGTGTTTTAAACAAGTTTTAGAATGTTTTAACAAGGGTTTAAGTTTTGTTTAAAGTTTGTTTAAAAAGCTTTTAAGCAATTGAGAGTTTGATTTTGTGAAATCAATTTCACAAGAGCTAGAAGAGATCATCACTTGGTGTTTGAGCTTCAATCCATCTCTCTCTCTCTCTTGTCATCTAGAGAAGTTTCCCTAAACTCAGTTCTTGCTTTTATTTATAATTATTTGTTGATTATCATTTCTATTAAGCTAGTATTTACATTTGAGTTTAGTTGATTTTATTTCACTCATTGTTTACACACACCCACTTGAGCTTATTGTATTTTCATACATAGTATATTTGGGTTGGTGAGAGTTGTAACAATTGAGTATGAGCTTTCATTGTGTTCTCATCTATTGTAGAGAACAAATTTATTGTTTGTTACATTGTGAGATTGTAAAGTTTTCGATGGGCTAGAAAACCGAGTGTGAGGAGTGAACGTTGATCGGTGAGCGTTGAAAACCGACATTGTGAGTGTGAGTGTTACGTTGATCGGTGAGCATTTGAAACCGACATTGTGAGGTGTAAACGTTATTCGGGTGAACGTAGAAAACCCAGTTGTGATAGTGTATTTCTCCCCGGGAGTGGGGAGCGGAGACGTAGGACGGAAGGTCCGAACTCCGTGATCATTTGAGTATGTTTGAGTTTGTCATTGGCGCATTTGCTTATGCATTTATCTTATATCACCATTGCCCATTACTCTTGTATATTTTACCCTATCACTTTTATAGTTTGATTATATCACCCTTGTGTTAGTTTATATATCCTTGCATATATTTTTATCATATAGGATATATCTCCTTGTTCATATTACTTATCCTAGCTCACATATCATGTTGTATTTCATACTTGCTAGGATAACTTGTTAATAAGTTTTAATTGGTATAAAATCGGATTAGATTAGCATAAAACCCTAATCACCCCTCCTCTAGGGTCTAACAATTGGTATCAGAGCTTGGTTTTCTTTGATTTAAGGTCTAATCGTTTTGAGTTAAAGATCCAAGTTATTTTTTTGTGCTAATCTTGTTTTGATTGTATTTGTATCTTGCTTGCATATTTTTA